AAATTTAAGTATAGAAAGTTAATACAAATACTCAGTAACATGCTCAGCAAATGCAAAATTTGCATTTCTCTCCCATGATGCACTGCATATGCTCACTGGATATGAAACTAGAATTTGACAATTTGGCGTTTCGTTGCGGAGTATGTCACTGTCGGTATTAGTTGTCTCATGTTGCTCATTCAATTACATGTACGTTCGATGAGGTTGCTTAGCAGCGCACGTGACATCTCCGCGGGCAATTTCATACCATCTGGTAACTAATGACATTGTGCTTTTATTTTTTATAGGTGGCGCTGTTTCATCAGCATTGAGTGTGTTTCTCCTAGCGTCATCTCTCTTGTTTGTTATCTATCGAGCTGATTCGGGTGAGCTGCATGTAATTACGATTTCAATCTAATGTGTTATTTTCACTGGGTTTAATATAATTCATGGTACACAATCACTTCAGAAAAAGTATTTTCATTGGATTTTGTTTTATTGATGTATCTCTTAACAAATATATATAATCCAAGTGAAAATAAAGTTGTCTTATGATCTTTCTATGGAAATTTAAATGGTTATCGCTATTTGTCAATATCGACAAGCGCAAGCAGTACTCGGTAATGTGGATTGTGCTGCTAGCATTTTTAATTTTCTTTTTCCCACCAGGCACTAACAGATGATGGGGACGCTCATTAATTCAAATTGCATTACTCGCTCCCTTGTGGACGTACGGCCTTGATGAATATCCTATTAAATCGAAGCGCCATTGTCGTTGCGCCGCTTTGTGTTCGTTACGGTTCCCACGCAATGTGTACAACGCGTGTAATTTACAAGACACGCGCATTGCGTGACGACTATGGCACTTTAGGAAATAGTAATCACACACCCGTGCCTTCAGTTTGAACCAATTAGAGTGCATGCTCCGTTTACAGGAATTTACAGTGTCCGATTTCCGCCCGTCATCTAAGTTGGTCTATTCGATAATAAATCTGTCATGACACGTTACGCACGTCATTTTACTTCGGCTCTTGTTACTCCATGACACGCTATGTCAAGTTATTTCACGTCACGAAACGCTCGCCATGTTACGTCACGTGATGTCATGTCATGACGTCAGAAGATGCCGCGAAACTAATTTTTATAAAGCAAGAGTACTTGACATTTTTAATAATAATAATTATTTAACATTAACATTCAACTACAATATTTGATGTCAGATAATAATATTCTTTTGAATCTTCCACGAATTTGATGTCAATCACGCGGTACCGGACTAGTATGTTCAAGTTGAGTCTAGATAAGTTTAAAATTCAATACCAATCATAATTTCACTAAGATACTATTAAACATGTCCGCGACACACGTAAATGTGAACTATACCCTACCATATAATATAGATTTTTAAAAATAGGAATGTATAGGTATAGTATTAGTGTGACGTCACTTTTGGCATAATAGAACTCGATCAATTCGATTCTCTCTAACAATACTGATTTCAATAGAATGAGCTAATCATATGAAGTTTAAAGTCTTCTTTTTTTCTGTTGGAGTTGCCTCAGTACAAGAACGTTACCAGACTAGCCTGCACACTAGGATATTATTCCGTATTATAATTGACTAACATGTGCAGGGCATTTGCTGTACGTATACATTGTCTGTATTAGTGGCGCTACAAACATTAGATTCATTGCTATTTTATATTTACACATCATTTTTTGTATCATTTGTTCACTAAAATATTTTACAATACCAGTGTGTTTGACGTAGTGATTATTTACCTTATCATCCCCTCCCATCTTTACCCATAGTGCATTGCGACACTGCTGGTTGTCACTTTGTGCATTGTTGGTTTTCGGGAAATTCAAACTATTTGGCATTTAAAAATGATTTGATTGTAATAATCATCAGGTAATTATATATTGCCGTATTTTATATGTTACACGATATATACTACAATGCGTGTATGCCAAGACTCTGGTATTTGCCATGTATTTACAACGTATTTAGGAATCAATGCGGATGTCTAAGACATGAGCGTATAGTTGATTCCCGGGACGAATGCAGAGTGCCCGGCACCGGTCAGGAGGCGCACCTCTATATAGTGACGTTATTTACACATTGTATTCTGGGATACACATATACTTGTAACGATGGACGCGTCCTCCAAATTCGTAAAAAATACAATTTATTTATTTATAATTTTATCATTTTAAATATCACCTGTTCAACTGAATGATAATAAATTTATTTTGAGACACCGCTACCAGTGACAAACCTCCGTTATCAAATCTTGCGTTAGTTAGAAGTACTCTAGGTCGCAAGTGACGGGAATGCCGGCCGGCTTACGCGAAGCATCCTTTCGCAAAATGGAACGAGTCGCAGGTATGTAATATTTTCGTTATTCACTGTTCATTTTTTTTTGAAAAACAACAATTGTTTCCATAAGTTGAAGCGATACTTTTACGTCACCATTAGGATTTATTAATTTATTTAGTTAGTTATTTAGTTAAATATTTGTTTATATATATATATATATATATGTACCTAGTATTAACATATTACTTGCTTGCATACTTACTACATTGTAGTACTTACTTACTGGTCGAATTTTGATTTAATAATTTTATTTTTCTAGATCTGAGCTGGATTGAAGGTGGTTGTCCGGATATAGTAAATATTGGTAAATCATATGTATAAAGAGTGACGTGTATGACTTATTTTAATATCAGCTGACCGTGAATCAAATCGTTAATTGGTCACAATGCAATTTCACATAACCTACAGCTCTAAAGAACAGCACTTCTTAAGTGACACTGAAACGCGTTCACTGCTACGATGGTGTTGGCATCCCCCGCGCCACACCTCGCTAAGAGAACGAAACCAGCGCCACGAACCCGCCCGCGTGCTCCACCTACTCGGACTAGAGTGGGACAAGGTATACGCTATAACGACCCCGGGAGAAAGCTTTGATGTTGAGAACCTTCGAGAAGTGTTGCCAATAGTCTTGAAGAGATTTACGAGAACTATAAGGAATAATTACTGTCAGAATTAAATAGACGAATCACATTTATATCAACGAATAAAATGGCTAACATTGGGAGATTTCTGAAAGGCATACAAACTTTGAGTCTCGTTCAGTGGGCGGCGTCCTCAGCTCGACTTCAATTCACCAGCTTTCAAGTAGTGAACAGCGCGGAAGGATACATATACTTTCCAATTTAATCTGTAACGAGTCTTCGACCAGTCGCGTCCATGTCCGTGTTAACTGCTGCGCACGGAGATATTTAGCCATTGAACGTTTCGTTAAAAATCGCTCTTTCGCACACGAAACATGGATTTGATTTTACGGATACACTGCGTACTACAAGGTAGGTAACTTGCTGAATATATTTTGGAAATCAACCTCGACAATTTACTGGTTCTGCCCCATTGTATGCCACGCGTGCAACTTGTTTAACAGTACTCAAGCGAATGCGTATTTGTTATTCTGTGTATTTCGGCAATCATAATTACAGCTAGTTTATTCAATATGCCGTCACTTTCAACATCAAACATCTCAATAACTATCTAGTTGCGAAAAATGTTTTAACATTCAACACAATAATAATAATAATAATAATATGGCTGAGTGTGTTTTTTCACTTCATTTTCTTGTATATATCTAACGCGTTAGAACTGAAAAGCTTTTAAGCACCCTGTCTTTGAGTTC